TTGTGAGATTCTTTATGAGAAATGCATAAATAATCTAAATAGCTAAACAACGGCGTTTAATTCAAAGTTAAGAGACAATTCCAACACTTACGTTGATTTGCAGCTGCGCCGGCTTTCATTTGCACAAGCTAAGCATTGGCGCTGCGCTGAAAGCAGTCGCAGTTCGCACCGTTCAATGGCAAAGGTATGACATTGCGTATGATGAACTTATGCACATGCGAGCAGAAGCAATTAGCATATCGCGATGCRACTACAGCAACACKTTCCAAGCACCACACAAGTGCTGTWCGCGATAATTTGCATAATTCATATAAGCGACAAAGAAATGTACACACACATGTGGCCGCATAGTTGTTGTTGTGTGCAAGTAGGCAAACTACTGTTTAAAATAGAAATATGATCAGAAATATCACACAATCAAACGAKACATGCAAGAACATAACGAATGCTTAGAAATAACTTTTTTTTTAGTTTCAATGCGCTGATGTTGTTGCTTATATCATCTTTATGTGTGTTTGCAGTTATTTATTTATATGTATTTATGTAATATAATGGTGATAATAGCAACAATGTATTGTTGGTGATTGCATTTTAATCGCAGCAAATCATGCGGCACGCTGACAAGCYGTTAATTATACAATAAAACTCATTAAGCAAATAGTTGGAGAAAATTACGACTAACAATTAGTAATAATTATTAAATAATACAAACATGCAAACAGCTGAAAGAGGCATATGCGAGGMTAATGGTGAGCTATTTGGGGAGGTTTTACATTTTTAATGTTGAAGACAATATGTCTGACTAGATTTGAGGATTCTGTTGTATTTGCACTTATAGAGGATATCAAACGAAACTAGTGCTGAATAATATAGACCAACCTCAACTCTAAAGTGGCAATATTAGCGTTCAACATTTCACAAGTTACTGTTGAACAAGTTACTGTTGAAAATCTTTAAATTTCCCAAATTTGATTGAAACAAACCTTTCAAGCGAKTGTTAATCAAAAATTTTCTCAATTTTAATTTAACTCTACCCAATTTCTCTCATTACCTCATTACTGGTTTTGCATTAATACATTTTAAACACGAATAATCATGTTTAGGCGGTTTTTTGCAATTTGTTTTTCAATTAAATTCAATCAAAAAAAAAAATTTTATTTTCTAAAGCATACTACATGAAWTTCTTCACAAAATTTTTTTTCGAAAGCATACGGATATTACTTGAAATTGTSCACACAAGTTTTTAATTAAACAGTTTATTATTCAATATTTTCACACATCAAAACAGAATATTCAAATTTGATAAAGCGCCTATTAAATTGCTATCAAGCAATCATCTCAAGCAACACATTCAATCAATTTTTTCAAATATTTTTCAAATTGTCTTTTTCAAATTGTCTTTTTCAAAATTTTTAATTTTTTTTTTTTAATTTTTTTCCAAATTTTTTAAAAGAAAATCATAATACATGTCCACTTTAATTGCAAAACGCCGGAAAATCCTTTTCTGTTATGCTTTAAGCATAAATCTTCCACCAAAAACAACATCAATCAAGCAATCAATCAAAACTCACAACAAAATATTAACTACCCAATGCTATTAGTCACCTATCAGCGCCTACACCATCACAAACAGCAGTCTAAAGTTAATGAACGGGCTTCCGTTACTTTTTGCAAGCTTTTTTTTACACGCCTCATATCGTCAAGCATGCATCGCCAACACCTATAAATAAATAGCGTATTTATGTAAAAACGCGTGCGCGCTTGACTTTGACTTTGGCCCACGACTGGGCGACGATTTGATCACACACGCACGTACACAAGCGAATATATATATTTATTTATGTGTTAGTAAGAACAATTAGGTATTTGCATTCAAGCATTCCTGKTTTTTGCTCGTCGTAAAAATTACTGGAAACATTTAAACGGTATTTGAAAAACAAGTAAAACAAAAAATTATCTTTGCAAAAAAGTCACGTTTAATTAAATTGTTGCTGCRTTGCACGTCAGCGTTCATTACGGTGCATTGCTTGCCGCTGGCCAGTAGTTGTCCTTCARTCGCAGATTTCCGTAATGGGTTAAAGAAAAAAGCCGCGCTGCTACTTTATTTTGTGCAAGCTAATGCATTTTGCTGTTTTGCGAAAATATTTGTTTAAGTTTATTTAACTTTTTATTRTAGTTGTTGTAAGTTTTGTGAAATTGAATACCACTTTTTTGCTACGTACTCACAGCAGCAGTGACATGTTGCATGCATAAATCAAAAGCACAATCAGCCATTCAAMGCGCAACAGGTTAAACTATCGACCGATCTGTTGTGGTCGGCAAGTGGTAGCGATCGTTGCTAATCGCCTGCTGATTTTGTCGTACATTCCCGCTTGCCAATCACAATTGAAATGATGCGCAATGCTGATAGYCRTAATGAATAAYGCAATTACAGTTAATATATATGTGTATGATGACTTTTAAGAGTGCTGAAGATCAGTAACGGGGTGATCGTGTAGATCATTATCGTGATTGTTAGCATTGCTAGCATGTGGTTAACGCTGATTGATGAGTTGGACATTGTGTCAATTTCTGAAAAAGTGTTTTATTCAGAAACAATATCGATATTATGAAGTAATGATAATATAAATTTAAATAAAAAGCTTAAAAAAATACTTTTGGGAGCGAATTAATAAMGCCCATCGGCCCCCTCCAATGGAACGCCAGCTCCATTGTCATTGTTTGGGGAATCGGGTTCACCATCTAATGGTGAACCTTTCACTGCTGGAGAAGAATTCCCTCTAAATTACAGTATTGTCTGGGCATCAGTCACTAGATCACCTCTACGAGTGTATGCCCCGGTCTTGAAACCTTCTGTTCGTCGCCGCATGTTTTCGTAAAATTTTCGAGCATTATCTCCRTCGGSCAACTTGTCAAGCTCTTCGTATTCACGCATTTCGTCACCKCTCTCTTTTTCCAAGCACGATTTTGATATCTTGTTGGGGGCAGATCTAAAAGTGCGCTCCAAGCGCTCATAGGAGGCATCTTTGGTCGCATCGTCCTGCTGTTCCGTCGGAGTGTGGGTGCAAATCAGTTATATGTTGAAGAACTTCGCTTTGAAGCGGATTATGACTAGACGTTCATCCACCGGGGTGAATGCCAGCATTTGGCGACGAATGAACGAATTTACACTCTGTAATATAGACACTGTAGTAAATACTACAAGGATCTACTCGCCTCAGTCTTTGTCTCRTTKATCRCACTTCTTTGACGGCAGTGATKTCGGCTTTCACTCTTACGATGATATCAACCAACTGRGCAGCGGCATCTTCGCAATTAAAGGACCGGACATTCCAGGTACATGCGCTTTAATCGAAGGGGTCATCATCAGAAGGGGGTCTRTCATCCGCGGCTGTTTTCTTCCTTTCAATGGGGTGGTTTTTACTTCACGGGTTYCAAACCCAGCGCACAACCTTGCGGAGGGGAAGTTTCGTCTTCTCACAATGATTTTTTTTTTGGCTACCCAGAGAATACTTGGTCTTAGACCACAAGTCGTGGACTGCTTGGGCCATATTTAAAATAATCATTTCTGGCTATTCGCAAGTGAATGKCGCTCAGAGAAATGATTTTGCTTTTAATTAATTAATTRTTACAGTATTATTATTGGYAACTCTAGTAGAATAATTTTTATTATTTATTGCCATTGGCACATCGAACGCAGAAAGCATCACTTGTAGTCTTATTTTTATTTGAAATTTATTTTTTTTCTGTAGGTGGCAACCTTAAAAATTTTATTTATTGCCTTTTTTTTATTAAACGAAATAATTAGTATATTAATAATTATTTCCCATAATTCAATATTTTTCAGAATTTTTTGTCATATGGCAACCCTAAAAATTAAAATTATTTTTTGTTTTTTTTTTTAATATAAATTATACGTAATACTTAGTAAAAATATATTTTTATTTTCGCTCACAACTTTTCGGCAAATGGCAACATTATAATTTTAAAAATTAAACGGACTACTTCTCAATCTAATCTTTTTAACCTACGACCATCTACGTAGAAACACACTATCATATTTACTTACATATGTGTATAGTACATGTGCAGATGTAAATGWAATAWTTTAAACTGCAACTGCATTCAGCATTTACCGTTATGTCAGTATCTTCCATTAGCAACTCACACAAACGCTGCTCTACTTAAACATGTTGCCATATTGCTGCTTTTTAGTATTTATTGCTTTGGCACGACCTGTTGTCTTTTGCTCTGTCATATATCAAGCTATCGGCTGCGCCCTTTTATGAGCACAACGCTCAGATTCTCAGGCACCACCACTCTGGCAGACATTCTAATTTTATTCTTCTTCAATTCCGATACTTTACTATTGCCACAAAAACAAAAAAAGAAATTCCAATTTATGGCGCTGCACCTGCAMATGAAGAGCATGGATATTGTCATTGTTGTTACTGTTGTTTTTGTTACAAATAGTATTTGTAGTTCTTTGCCTCGTTCGTTCACAGGGAGGCGTTGAATGTCAAATGCGATGTTATCGCACACGTTTTGTTGTTGTTCTTTTTGGTTCAGCAGCGCCTCTCCAACTCAATACAAATTATTTCTAATAAAACTAAAAAATAAAAAAATAAAATATTTACGTACATTTATCGTTTAGTTATTTGCCAAAATTAAAATTGATTGTAAAWTTTTTTGATTTATTTTACCTCTATTGGTGTGGTGTGGCAGCGCAAAAAAGCAATTGTTGTAAGTGAATTTACATAATTTTGATTTCTACATGATTTACACATAATAAAATATTTATTTGTTAATGAATTTATGTTTATTTCCAWTATTTATTTTATTATTGTTATGCTTATTAATTTGCAATAATATTTTTTATTATTTTTAATTGCTAACTTTTTATTGCTATTTTTCCCAACATTTATTTTACTGCCCTCAGCAACAATTTTTCATCTACAATTCTCTTTATCATTTTTGTTGTTTTGATTTTGTTTTTGCAGAGCTCTACAATCGCCGTGATCGCCTGTGTTTGCGCGCAACTCGCTCCCGGCTCAAACATGTACCTGCCACCCAAGCCGAATGGCTACAACTACCCAGAGCCCAAGAATCCACTGGTAAGTAGGCTAATATGAATGGGCTGTTCCATCAACAGCACACACACGCACATACAGCGGCAAATAAATGAATATGTTTGCATTTTGTTGTTGTTCTTTAGTGCTTTTTATGGCTGATACTACAAACGAATCGAATTTTACCCTTTCATTTGGTTTTTAAAATGACTTTATGATGCAATCGTCATGGGAAAATGAAAGGCATTTTATGGGTTTTTGCTAGAAATACCCTTACCCGTGCAAAGAGTGCTCAAAGTAATGTATTAAACTAATAATTATTGGCGAGGATAATTATGAAAATATAAGCTTTAGCAGACCCAGAAATGTTGTTAGCCGAATTAGTGTGTGACCATCACATGGTAGGCCTTACTTTAATAAAAATAGAATCTAATATCGTTCACTTTTCGATGATGCTACCCATCGACTTTTCGGAAGTAAATCCGGTTACAGATCTTCTAGGCTAATAAATGGAGAAAAAGTTAATATAAATATTTGCATGCCTACCCCGGCCACGCTTGCAGAAAGAAGTCTAGACGCTGAACCCAATTTTGACACATGGAGTACGTGTGGATTGCAACCTGACCAACAGCGCATATTTTCCTTATTGACGAGGTCATTCAAGCAAGAATCTAGCCTCAACGCTGAAGATGATTTTTCGATGAAAATCCGGAGTTGATCAGCCAAATTCACCGAAAATAGCACGATTTTAGTGGTCAATCGGCTTCAGTTCTTGCGTAAATTTCTCTTGTTAAGATRTAAAGTAAGATATTTTCGAAAAATAAGCCAAAACGACGTCACCCATGCCCAAAGCTTAAGAACGACGTRTGAGACTGATTTGAGCCTTCGTCAATTGATGCGGAACCATCGCCCAGTCTGGAACCACATTTTCATTACTTCAAAGTGGCATTTCATAAGTTGGCAGGTGATTTTCGTTGCCTTTCTTGCCTGTTAGCAGTAGTAGCTCTGTTTTTCCGTATTACATGAGTCGAGCAATGCTTGCATAAATATTATGACCTGACTAAGCTTTCATCGCGCATTTTCGGTATCTCTTGCTGTAATTACTACTGCAATGTCATCCGCATAGCTACTTAAGTACGATTCGTCTGGCATTTCGAAATTTAGTATAGAYAAATCCGAAGGGAACAAGGAATTGATTTTAAAGTAATATTTTTATTGGCAGAAATAACTTATAAAGTTTGCCAGTGTCAACTGAAGCGCCAACATTAGAAAAATATTAATTATATTAGTCACAAACTAGTATCAATCCAGAACTCACAATTCATACCGCTGTGAATCTCTTTGCGACTAACTTTGCGACTTAACTGACGGATATCCAGCGGCAGTTGACTTCGTCACAAATCACAAATGCGTCCCTGGATCATGCTGGATCTGTCAATAAATAGATTGTTGTTGAAGAATAGAGAGAGAATTGCATTTCGAAAATACCTACTCAATATTTGATGAAGAGTTTGAAGTTACCTAGCGAACGTCCCTTGGCTTCATTAATAAAAAACTGTAACTGTGTACGGTTTTGTGGGAAACGAAACTTCAATTGRTAGACAGTTCGGCTGACAAAGCATGCTATTTTGGATCATCCATATAACAACCAGATTCTAACCGTTAATGGTAGTTAGAATGCATACGTTACGCCAAGTCTGCAATCTTATTTGATATTAAAGAGCTCGCGTAGCTCACTTCCAATGATAACAAGACTGATGTTACAACAAAACACCTATTTACAGAGCTTTCCTGGTTTCCTGTAATTTTTAGTTGAAGCTGATAATTATTAGGGAYCACTCAATTCAAATTTTAGCTTATACTTTTATTGTTTTAACAAGCTCTTAAACCCGTAAAAGTATGGTAACTTGGTGGGAACTCAAACCTCAGCCGAGGAGTACAAAGCATAGGCGAAGTTATTACCCCGACAAGAGCAAAGTAATTGGCAACAATGAAAAGGCACGGCACAGTAGACACGGCAGCAATGCTAGTACTTAGCAGGTGAAGGCACGTGGTGTGGCCGCCGCGTCAAAGTGATGGCTGCAACCAGCCAAAATAGACACAACACCTAAGCACCCAAGCACCCAAGCAGCGTTGCACAGCAATCTTTCGCGCTCTTTATTTTCGCTGATGATTGCCAAAATGTGCAACCGAAAAGTAAATAAGCTAAGGTAACAAAAACAAATAACGCAGACGGTTAGTGGGTGAATGKGCTAGTGGGCACAGCAACAACAATAACAAGCACTCACTGTTCCCATAGCAATTGTGTTGCAAGTACCGTTATTTAAGTATGCCACTAGTTAATAGGTTAGCAAATGCTTGCTCCTAGTTACCGCTGCCTTGCCGCTTTCTTCCTTCCAGCGTTGGCTGCTACAAGCTGRCTGCTCATTTCGTTGCTTTTATTGACTTTTCATTGTTGTAGTTCACAATTTTTAGGCGGCGAAAATCAAAATAGCGCGGTCTTTGTACTTTTCAGTTTTTGTAGTAGTTTTTTTTTTTTTTGCTCTTGTGTTGGCAACAAAATATTGCAAGCGCCGTAAAATGCAATGTGGCAACAGCAGCCGCCGTTGTATGACTTCATTTTACGTGTTGCAGGTTGGGCGAGATTTCCGATATGTTCACGTGTAACACACAGACAGGCTTCCAACCGAGCGCTTCCACTTAATACATATAGTACATCAACAACAACAAAAACAACTTCATTTGCGCTTGCAACAAATGAGATTAGTTGCAGGTTTCGTTGATGTTGCGAAAAGTGGCATTTTGTGCTGCCGCTATTGTTGTTGTTTGTATGTAGTGCAATGGGCATTAAATTACTTACGGATTTTAATTGTTAATTAGTTGCTTAGCTTGCTTTGTTGCGTTTTCTGCCGAAAATGCAATCTGTAACATTTGCAAGACTTGCCACAAATAGTTTAGAAAGGCGGAATAAYGCAGGGGGCCACAAAAAGAACAAAAAAAATTGTTTTTTCTAGAGCACGTAAGCTTTTCTTGTTTTAATAAAGTTTTTGCATATTTAAGAAACGTAATRTGAGTTTAGATTGAGTTGCTTCTTAAAATGCAACTTGAAGGCGATTAGTCAGGCAACTCCACTAGAATGCAAAATATTTTCCCAGTATATCGATGCACTGGAGACCTAAAACGAAGTGGGTAAGTAAACCGAACGGACAACGAGCTAATATTATAGTGTAGTATTAACAATTGTTTTACTATTCAACTTCTAAAATTATGAGTCACAAAGCAGTAAGGAAAAAATTTTAAAGTGGCGAAAATAATCTTGACTTGAGTCGGTCTTCCTTTTCTCTGTTGGAGCCAATTTTAGATTCCATGTCCATATCCAGCTTTTTTTTCCAACGGAATGGAGATCTTCCTCTTCCTCTGCGCCCCCCGGCGGGTACTACGTCGGGTACTCTCAGCGCTGGAGTATTTTCTTCCATTCGGACGACATAATCTAGCCATATACCTCGTACCTTTCGCACGAAAACTTATAACGTCGACTCATCAGATGTAGTCAACATCCATGACCTATGCAAGATTGATATGATCAGTGACTTGTAGGGTTTAGTCTTTATTTGTCGAGAGAGGACTTCACTTCTGAACTACCTACTCAGTCCTAAGAAGCACCTGTTGGCAAGAGCTATTCTGCGTTGGATTTCTTTACCTCTTTCGCCAGCCGCTGTACACTCTTAAAGAAGATTGTACTTTCTCTATTTAGCTCTGCAGCTCGTATTATTTTCTCCAGAAATAGATTGAAGAAGYCAMACGATAGGTGGTATCCTTGTTTTAAATCTCGCTTGGTAACGAACAGCTCGGAATGSTCCTTCTSGATCCTGACGGAGCTTTTGGTGTTGCTCAACGTCAGCTAACACAGYCGTATTAGWTTTGCGTATACAGGTCCTTTTCGTATTGTCGAAGGCGGCCATAAAATCGACGAAGAGATGGTGTGTGTCAACCCTCTTTTCACGGATCTTTTCAAAAATTTGGCGCATGGTAAATATCTGGCCAGTTGGTTATTTTCCAAGCGTAAAGCCACACAGATAAAGTTCAATCAGTTTGTTGACGTGGTATTTAATTGTTCACACAATACGCTCAATAGCACAATAGGATGTCAGCTTTGAATTTTACGAAGACATCAACCAGTTGGGAAGCGGCGCCTTCACAATTGCGTCATCAAAAAGAGGGTATCTCATCCGAGGCCGTTGTTCCTTTTTCTCTAGGACGGTTTTTAACTTAGCGGATTTAAAACCCAGCGCGCAACCCTGGGGAGGAATGTTTCGCCTTCCCACTTCAGCGCGCCTTCAAACAGATGTTATTTGACTACCCAGAGGATACTAAGACCGAAAGTCGTGAGCTGCTTGAGGAAATGGAAAAGAGTCGTTTCTGGCCACTCCCAAGTGAATAGCACTTTGAGAACTTTCATCGCTTACGTGTATTTCTACACATAACTCCATCCTCCATATCAGCTAGATAGAAACAATGAACTTTACTTTTGATATTATTCTGGGTCTTTGTTTGGTTGCACTGTATCTATCCTCGGAGAACTCACGCCCTTTAACCTGCAATCTATTACTGAGCTTGTGCTACATTATATAGAAGTGTTCGGCCCGTTTTTTAGATTTTTGTTGATGGTTTCCCTAAATCCAAGTTTTATTTTCTAATGTTCTGTCCTTAGATAGCACTCTCGAAAGTTGTCTCTTGCATAATATTGACAATTCCTCCGCCAACGCTTCCACAAACTATTGCAGCTCTGTTTCTTGTTGCCATTCTTAATTTTTTTTTTTTTTTTTAGTAAAAATTTAGTGCACCACTGTCGACCTTTTTAGCAGTCACTGGAGCAATAACACGAACAATAGCAATAACAACAGCTAGTATAAAACTACAACAATTATCATACTTGCAAAATTACTCCTAGCAACGTCTTTGGAACCTTTGACATTGCGAGGTGTGTCTCGGARGCGTGTGAGACAAAAACAAAACAGCAAATACGTTTAAGAGGTGGAAATRACAGTAAAAAACAAAAGTTGAAGCAAATAGTAAAAAGTAAAAGTTTGAAAGACGAAAAGGGGAAAAGACGAGGACACATACATATGTAATATTTCTTTTATTCGGGACTTGGGAACAGCTGATGAAGACAGAGAAGCGACAAAACTAAGAAAGACACTTAGAAGAGGAATAAACTGTGAAAAGGCAATTGAAAAGAGCAAAAAATAAGAATTTCTTACATACAAAAATGCAACGYTGCGTTTGCAAGTGCATATGTATGTTTGAATGTGTGACTCTGAAGCAGCGTTCATGCACCCATAAGCCTCGGTCGTCAAGAACCAGCGTCAATAGTTAGTTAAATGCAAAGCGATTGCAACAACAATAACAACATTAGTAAAGTAGCACACTCGCGACCCGCACCAGCGCACATCACGACGTGCCACAAAAACTCTTGAACTTTAAATTAAAGCGACCAACGGCAAAAACGGCTGCCAACAACACGACGACGAAGCACAAAAAGAGAACAAAGCGCCAAATGACAATAAAAACTGCCAGACAGTCAGCCTTGCGAGCGAGCGAGCAGACAGACAAACAGTCAGTCAAAGCAGACAGCCAAGCAGCAGCAGCAGGCACAGTGGCTCAGCAGGGCTAACGGACTACCTGCAAAAGAACAGTTGTCGATGTTATTGTTTTTTGCTTTTTTTTCTTTATTTTATTTTATTTTTTTTTCTTGTTGTTCGAAGCTGTAAAGCACTGCTGCTCAAGCGCTCTCGGTGGAGCTTGCCAGCTAGTGAGGCTGCCGATCGTGGCGTAAAGTGGCTTGCAACCTGCTGGCTGACAGCAAGCAGCGCTCACCGCGCTCCACCCGCACACCTTAACTGCACATACATACGTGTACGCTTACTACGAACCACGTTCCTTAGGCTAGCAACCCACACCGACACCGCGCACAAACGCTCAAACTTACACTTGCTTATTGGCGGCATCGGCATTCTTTTCGAGTGCGCAAAGCCGCACCTCCGGTTTCTCAGCGCGAAAAACGGCACAGAAAAAATAGTACCGAGCTTGTTTTTTTTTTTTTTGTTTTGCTGCAGCTTCTTTTTCATTACGATTCTTTGGCACTTCGCTGCTGTAACCGGCATTTTCGTCGCATTTTGCATTGCTTTGCACTGCAATTGCCGCAAATTGTGGCAAACGTACGGCAATTGAATGTCGCCATTCGCCTACGACACATTTCAACTTGTTGGCAACATCGCTGTTGCTGTTATTGTTGTCAAGTGTTGCGCTAAAATCCTACCACTATTTACTCACCGYTGCTCAGTGTGGAGCGCATGTTGACTTTGCTGTCATTTTGGGTCACCTCACTTGCGCCAAAAATGGGTGCTTGCCTTACTTATGTGTACTGCCAATCAGTCACTATTGTTGTTGTAGTGTGGCGTTTGTTTGCGCCACTGGTCACTTTTGGCATTTCTAATTCGGCTGAGAAATACCTTTTAGGGTCCGCTCTTTTGCTATTTACTTTGAGTGTGTT